GTATAAGAGACAGATATATGGTCTTTTTAATTAATTTTCTCAACTCCAATAAAACTGAAACTCTTCTTATTCATTCAAAATATCTGAATTCCCCACCTGAAATACATCATGTGTCAGTAAGTGACTCCATGGTCATGCCTTCGAAAGTTGTTCAAAACATTGGAGTGACTTTCGATGAATCAATGACCCTATCCAAACACATCAACACTACCTGTAAGTCTATTTCATATCACCTTAGAAATATCAAGAACATTTGTCAGTTTCTCTCTGAAAATGCTGCCCTAAAGCTTGTGCACGCAATTATTACTTCAAGACTGGACTACTGCAATAGTATACTTAATGGTCTGCCTGAAAAACTCATCCATAAGCTTCAACTTCAACTTAATTCTGCTGCTCGCCTTGTTTCCAATACTTCACGATTTGAACATATAACGCCTGTTCTAAAACGTCTGCATTGGCTACCTGTGAAGCAGAGAATCATATTCAAAATCCTGATTATTACATATAAGGCACTTCACAATTTAACCCCGTCCTACATTTCAAACCTCATCATCCTTCGTTCAGCTAACTGTGGCAGGCGCCTTAGATCTTCTGCAGACCTTACTCTTCTGCAAGTTCCTGCATGCCGATTAAAAACGTATGGCGAAAGATCGTTTCACGTAGCAGCACCAAAACTATGGAACAGCTTACCTTCTAGTAAGAGAAGCACCAACTCTTGCTATTTTCAAGACAAGATTGAAGACTCATCTTTTCAATACCTGTTACTAATTTCAAATTTTCATACATTTTTTTTTTCTGCCTTTTGTTTTTTGTGATTTGAGTATAGGCTTGATTAGATAGGTGCCTTACATCATGAGAGCATCTGTGAATTATGTGCCGGCCAACCATTGCCTGTCAATGGTCTTAAATTGCAGGCGAACGATGCAGTGATGTTTGGTTCTTCTGCTCAGTCTGTTTCTCTGCATTTGTAGTTTGGTTACAATAGGAGTTGCCTTTTGTTTTTGTTTTTCCAGCGCATTGAGACTTCGGTATAATGCGCTATACCAAATCCCACTACATTACATTACCAATGCTTCCATCTTATGGCTAAAGTAGCCTATGCTACTGCACTGTAATGCATACACTACTTAGATAGGCTTTTCTTTTTCCATCTTGATCTCTAAGGTCAAAAACATTTTTCAATCATATAGTGGTGTAGACTAGTCTTTTAAGAACATTTTGCTGGAAACAGTTTTTGGATACGATGCCCCATTATGGAGTTATGATTTTTTAAATAACATGATGTAAGAAAATGAGCCCAAAAGCTATCTTATTTCTGTTGGTTATGCACTGCTGATTCACAATGTTTGTCATCACTTGAAGATGTCTACCGATTCGTGGAAACGGCCTATTGGTTCATTTTCGTAAGGTGGTTTGCAGACATTGTGTTTCGGTTGTAAAGACGTCAGATCGCCCAAAGTTTCATAGTGCGTGAAAGGAGCAAGCTCAGTGTAATCGAGAATGTTTTAATTAAACAAATTTATAAAAAAAAACAAACAAATAAACATAAATTTAAATTTTATTCTCTACAAATCTTGTCATTTTGATCAATAGATAGATAGATGATCTAGACTTGAACTCGTCACTCAGGACGAGTTTGGTGAACCGCCGCACTTTGACCTTCAGGAAGTGCGCGCGGTACTGATTGAAAAGTTTTAAAATGCTCAAAATGGCCTAAAATATATGCTCCAACTAGTTTTAAAAAAAGAGTAATTTTCAGCATTTAAAAAAATTTATGCATACGTACGCGCAGGTTTTGATGCCTGTGCGCCCGGTAATTGCAAAAAAAGTTGACTCCTGATATAAATACAGTGTCAGGAACCCACAATATGTAAGAAAATGCAAGTTCTAGCTTCAGTACAGTAGAACCTGGTTTTTACGTACCCCAGTTTTACGTACGCCTCGTATGGACGATGACATCATCAAAAACAACGAAAATATTCAAAACAAACGGCCCCTTTGAGAGCAACCATAAGTAAAAAGACTATAACAATAAACAAACCATAATGCAACACATTTTCATTAAACAGCAACGTTGATTGAGTCTAATACCGGGTTGTTATAATCTAAAACCACGTGAACTGAGTGAGATGAACAACTACCGATGGTGCTCAAAATAATTGCTTTCCTCCTTAGCTTCGTGTGGCAAACCATGGAAGAACTCGTCTGGTCAAATTTTCTACACAAAGCTGGGTAGACATAGTTTCGTACACGAACGCTAATTGGTTGGTTCGCCCAGTGCATAGCACATGGTTGCTGCTTCACGTACACGAACGCTAATTGGTTGGCTCGCCCAGTGCAGCGCACATGGTTTTAGTTTGCACGTCTCAACAGGCCCAGACAACACCACAGCTCTGTTGTTTAGAATAGGCATGAAGGGTAATTCCCAAGTTATATCTCTGTCGTAGGTAATATTTTCATGTTCTTTATTTTAGTTAAATAAAAGATATAAAGTAATGAATTAATACACTAGACACATGGTTTTATTTGACCACTTTATTATGACATCGTAAAGTGATGAATAAAAACACTAAACACATGGTTCTAGGCCTAGCCTAGATATCACCGTTCATTCATACATACGTTTATTGAGCGTTACGTACGTATTAGGTCAAAAGTTACCACAAATTTACCAAACCTCTATTTTACAAATCTCCTGATTTACGTACGCCCTCTGGTCCCGTACCGTACGTAAAATCGAGGTTCTACTCTATGTTACTAAGCGTGTGGAAATGAGCATGTGGCATGTAAATTAAGGGAAGTTTTGGAATGCTGAAAATGACCTGAAACATGCTTTTAAAATTATCTGAAAAGTGATATTGAAAATTTTTAAATTTTAACGCACACGTCACGATGTGCGCATGGACGGTAATGATACAAGAAATTGAACCTTGTTAATGTTTAATTTAAAAACGCATGTAGGTTGGTAATGACACGAATTTTCCTTTCATATGAACCATGTTAAATCAGTCTGATAGCGTCGAAATATAGTCTGCCGCCCTCTGTTGTTGCACAAAGTTAAAGAAAAATAGATGAGAGGGGTCCAAAAATTAAATCATTTGACCATGATGACGTCGTCAAAATGAAAAATGAAATGACACTTTCGAAAGAGAATTGTCTCAGCTAAAACATACTCGCAGGTGGGAGACGATCAATCAAGAATAAGCAAGATACGTTCTAACGATTATAAAAATAACGTCATAAATAAAAATTCAATTTTTTCTTAATTCAGATAGCAATATAATGATGTCACAATGTCCGATAAGCCATATTGATCCATAAAATTATATCTACAACTATATATAATAAAAATTAGGGTCAACCTTTCTTCTAAAGGAGGTATAACAGATTAAAAATAGGCATGATTTCTAAGCATATATTAATTTTGACGCATGCGTAAGCGCACGTTATGACGTGCGCACAGAAAATTAAGATACATGACATTCAATGTTGACCTAAAGTTTATACCTACTTAATATGATTCAGAAATGACGAATGGTTAAGATGATTATGGGGTCATCAAAGTTTTGAGGAAAGAAAGATTTGGGGGAGGGGGTTCAAGAAATCATTTAATTTGATCATGATGACGTCTTCAAAATGTAAAAAAAAGTCAAATATATGAAAGAGAATTGTCTCAGCTAAAACATACTCAAAGTTAGGAGACGATCGACTAAGGATAAGCGAGATTCTCTCAAATGCGCATTTTCAAAATGACGTGATAGATAAAATTCAGTTTATTAAATTCAGATGGCAATATGATGACATCAAAATGTCCGATCGGCCATTATGATCTATAAAATCATATCTACGACTCATGTGCTTTCAGAATATGTAATCAAAATTGGGGGTCACCTTTCATCCTAAGGAGCTGTAATTGATTAAAAATATTTGTGATTTTAAGCATACATAAATTTTGACGCACGCGTACGTGCATGGTAAAAAGCGTGAACGGAAAGGTACATGACATTCAACCTTGACCTTTCATCCTAAGCAGCTATAACTGATTAAAAATAGGCCTTACTTTAGCATATTTTTACTGTATATCGGCACTAATCCGCACAAAGATCCCTATGTTTGATGCGCACATACGACATTACTATTGGCCATAAGTTGAAAGAAAAAAATGGAAATTTGTGAAAACAATTTCAGGAACCCAAAATATGTAAAAAAAAAACATAATTTCTAGCTTGCGCACGTATTGGAAAATTTAAAAAAATTTTAAAATGCTCAAAATGGCCTGAAACGTGCTCTAATTTAGTCAAAAGGTGATTTCAAGCATTTTGAAATACTCGTACACGTGCGTTTAGAAGCGCACCTGTAAAATTATGGTACATTACACATAATATTAACCCGAAGTTAACGCTCACTTAATACGATTTCGAAATGGCAATCGGTTTGGCTGATATGATCGATAATGTAAAAACGCAAAATTGCGCATAGCTGACGTCACGCATGACTGGTCACCTTGAAAACCTTACCGTAACTATTTCAGGCGAAGCCAAAATTTTTTATGAAGCGACCGCGTGATTTGCTCGTAGCAATTTTAAGATATCGTGCGAACAAGAAATGAGGAGAAAGTGAGAATAAAAAAAAAAGATGATGATGATTACTGACAAGAGGTTGCTCGTGAAGCAGATCACCAATAAACAAACAAACAAGTGATATGGCATTTTGTGCGAGTCATGACTGATGCAAAAAAAACAGTAAACAGTATGGAAAAACACACGGGCAGATGATCGTGTTGCACTGCCCGTGACTTAATTCATTCTCTAGTCGCATCTACAAAAATCAGGTCGCAAATGCAACCAAATAAGCCTTAATTTGCAGCCCTACTTCATATTAAATTTTTCAGCATTCAGTAGTGGCCTTCTCCTAACACTATTCTCCTTACGTTTCTAATTACATTGCTAATTGAGCAGAAATTTTATAGTCTATAATCTGACACATAAGCAGTTTCTTACTTGAAGAGACCAAATGATCACTTGGCCCTTTGCACATCCAGTTGCTATCAGCAGACCATCTGGACTGAAGCTGAGCGAGTTGATCCTCTTCATGTGGCTGTGCGTTCTTAGCACACACTTTGCACAGGGCTCGGGAAATAAGTATGAATCTTTCAAAACCTACAAATACCAATTGATTGATTGATTATACTGGTGAATCCACTGAGGCTTAGGATAATATGCTGTGTAAAATTTACATGTACATACTATTAATGTTAGAAAAAAACAAAAAAATCTAGATAAGGTAAAGACAAGAGAATAACCCAAAACTGGCAGTAGTTCTGTTCAGACAGCCTTCTTTCTTTCTTGAGTTATTGTATGCCCACGTTACTTCTGACAAGTGTCAACATGATGCTTACCCAGGGCATAATTTTAAAGCTTAAAAGTAACTATGCAAATTTTCCAAAAGTGATAATCACCACTTTCATTGTCTCTCAATGGTTATTTTGCACACAAATTTTTGAAATTGTAAACAATCATGAAGATATTGTGTCTACAAAAATTTACACATCACAGGAAAATATTGGCACTAATTTGTAGGAAACTATTTTTTGAAATAAAAATCAAGGTCAAAATAAAGAACTACTCTTCCAAAAGATTCAACAGATTTTTTAAATTGTTGGTTATATAAAGCATTTTGTTGTATTTAATGACTATTTAACGGTTTATGTAGGCCTTTGCTGGAGTATGCTGCCCCTGTCTGGGTTCCCCATTAGAGACAGCATATTACTAGCATAAATAGACCTCTAAGAAGGATCACTCACTTTGTGTTAGCAGTGACTTCGAACAGCGACTAGAACTCCTAAATTTACCAACTATTCATCAGAGGTACTTTTTATTATGAAAAGTGCACAGTAGCCAGATGTGTACATTGGACCACCATTTTAAGTCATTTTAAAGGCCCTGTCACATAGTAGCGAATAGACTTAACGTATGCCGAGCGTTGTCATATTCTTTCCTAAGTCCCGATACGCTCAAATACGCTCATTTTTTTTGGCAAAAAAATAATATTTTTGCGTGAAAGACGAACGCCCAACGAATGAGAAAAGAATGCTCATCGTACAATTAGTGTCTATTTAACGAATGACAGCGCATTCGCAGCGTTTGTCCAACGATTGTTCAGCGTACACAACGAATGCCCAGCGAATGTCACACATATGCCTAACGTATTGACGCCGTGTAAACGTTGATGTAGGTCGGTATAACGTTGATGTAGGTCGGTATACGCTGAGTGTTCGCTGGCCATTCGTTACTCATTAACTAGACAAACTCTATGAATACGTTATGCATTTGCTATGGCAACATTTCAGATGGGATTGAACGTGTTCGGACGAACAGAAAACGTAAACCCAACGTGCGAAACTGCTCACAAACTTGACTCACTTGGCTTTATTATTTAATGAAACCAGAACCCTGCGGGTGCATACATTCCTTTGTATGTAAAAAATCAATGTACATTTGTGAATTGCAATAACTTGATTGTATCTTTTTGAATAATGATTGTGTAAGGTAATACAGTATTTTCATTTTGAGCTAAAAAAATCAGAGGCAGATCCAGAAATTTATGAAAGGGGGAGGGGGTAAGGGGTTCTGAGAAGTGCAGGGATGCCGTTATGCAGGACGGAGGCGGGCGACACCGCCCACTCTTGACGTCTTGCGCCCATCCTAAAGCTATTTTTAAGGCCTTCTGCCCAGCCTCATACAAATTCTCCCGCCCCCCCCCCACAGTATTTTCCGGTGAATAACTTTGGGGTGCGGCCTATACACCAGTCGTTAACCTACTCCCAAAAAGTTCAGATCGCCAACCGCAGCGAAAATCACGCGCCGTCTGTCTAACTTGGGCCCATGCTCCTAGCCCAATTAATTAGCCTAGCCTTTGTTGAAGGGCTAGTATTTGTAATTATACTCACTATACAGTGCTGTACTGTGATTCCTACCACATTTTCTACGACAATCAAGCAATGGTTTGGGTTGTATAAATAATTATTATTATTATTTTGAAACATGTTTTATTTGAAATCGCTTCGCTCAAAACAATAAATAACCTTCTTTTCGGGAGTGTGGTACTAGAGGTCACGTGAGCAACTTCATTTATGATGTCGCAACAAAACGCACGTGGGCTGTTGAAGCTTTCTGTTCGACGTCTGGTTCCCGGTGGCTTTTACCGTTATAGAAAGAATACTGATACCGTTATATTTCAGAATAAAAGCTTGTGAAATTTCTTTATGCAATAAAAACACGAGTTTTCTTGAAGTTGTAATAATTATTTTACTCGAAATTAATTGAAGAAAGGCATACGTTCGTCCGTCAATCACATGCCTCCATCACATGCTGTATATGTGTATGACGGTCAGTCCATCACATGCTGTAAATTTATGTGTCCATAATTTTAAGGTTCTCCCCCACCCGAGACTGTCCATCATGTGCTGTATTTTCTAACCATTATTTTCCCAAACATCATTTGATGAAGCTATGCTGTAAATTTATGTGTCCATAATTTTAAGGTTCTCCACCACCCGGGACTGTCCATCAGATACATGCCACCATCACATGCTGTATATGTGTATAGATGGTCAGTCCATCACATGCTGTAAATTTATTTGTCCATAATTTTAAGGTTCTCCCCCACCAGGGACTGTCCATCAGATGCTGTATTTTCTAACCATTATTTTCCCAAACATCATTTGATGAAGCTATGCTGTAAATTTGTTTGTCCATAGTTTTAAGGTTCTCCCCTACCCGGGACTGTCCATCAGATGCTGTATTTTCTGACCATTATTTTCCCAAACATCATTTGATGAACTCCCGTCCCCCCGCCAACCCTTAGGTTCATCCGTCCATCACATGCTGCCCCCGCCAACCCTTAGGTTCGTCTGTCCATCACATGCTGCATATTTATGTGTCCAGAATTTTTAACCATCATTTCTTGGAAAATAATTCCACAAATGTTGATTTTTATTGTTTGACGGTAGGCTGGTGGTAGGCCAAGAAACCTACTTTACGTAGGCCTAACGGTATAGTATATCAGATGTGTCTAGGCCTACACCAGGTCTGACGGTGTCGCCCAAAGAGAAGCCTATATTACGTATGCGTCTAGGCTAGGCCTAGGTACACCAGGTCCATCAATCTTAGCCGTTAAAGTATACTAAAACACTAATAGAACACCTTCAAATAATAGCACAAGTAAGTGGCCGATATGCCACAACTATCTCAGTTTGCTCAATGTTTACTGACAGTCGCGAAAACTACATAAAGAACTTTTCTAGGCAGCTCGCGACAGAAACAAAATGTCGGCAAAGTTTGATCCGACGCATGCGCAAATCAAATTTTCGACTAAAAAACGACTCAAAACTGGTGGTAGGGGGTATATGTTTTATCGTCTACAGCTTACATTTTTCATCTAACCGAAAAAACAAACATTTCTTGCACAATTGCATGTCCACCAGCAACTATCGAGCACAATGTATACCTGCCGCTATGCACCGTTTCGGAGCCTATTTGTTTATAAATAAGCTGACCTCTTTTGGTGTCACATCTCATACACACATTTTACATGTGAACCATTACATTAGTTCCATGTGACCTAAGGTCACAAAGGAACTAAAAAGGAAAACATTTTGCTTACTTGTTGTTCATTGTTCAGTCTTGGTCTCAAGGTGTTATGGTATTTGGATGAGTTACTTGAATTAGGTATTATCCATATCGACATGGATCCATCTTCACCTCCACTGAAATCATACATTTATATACATTATTTTATAACAAAATGAAAAAATAATGTTCATAACAGCTAAAATATATTGTACGAGATATGAGGTATAATGAGATTTTTAATACAAACTAGATTTGAACTCGTCACTGCGGACGAGTTAGGTGATCCGCCACACTTTGACCCTCAGGAAGTGTGCGTGGTGCGGATTGAACAATACTTAAATGCTGATAATGGCAAAATACGCTAATTTAGTTTGTTAAAAAAGAATTTGGAACATTTTAAAAGATTTACTCATGCGTATGCGCACCTCATGACGCACGTGCGCATCTTAATGTCACTGTTGTCTCCTGATATGAGATATATATGTATCAACTTTCATTGACAAACGCCTGTTGGTGAAGGAGTAATGATCATTCATAATATGTATCATATATAAAAATTCAGTTTTGTTTACTTCAGATGGCACCTTTCATCCTAAGGGGCTATAACTGATTAAAAAAAGACTTTGACGCACGCGAACGCTCGCGTTATTACGCGCGCACAAAATATAATGTACATAACATTTAACCAAGTTTATACCCACTAAATATGGTTCAGAAATCACGACTGATTAAGGTGATTAAGGTGATTATGGGGTCATCAATGGCTTGACGAATGAAAGATGAGGGGGGTAAGCAAAACCCTATATTTTAAACATGATAACGTCATCAAAATGTAAAAAAATGCCACATATATGAAAGAGAATTGCCTCAACATACTAAATGTTGGAAGACAATCGATCAAGGATAAGCGAGATACGCTCAAATGCGCATTTGTTAAAATCACGTCGTCGATAATATTCAGTTAGTTGAATTCAGATGGTAATATGGTGACGTCACAATATCCGATCAGCTATTATGATATATAAAATCATATCTACAACTCATGTGCTTTTAGAATATGTAATAAAAATTGGGGGTCACCTTTCATCCGAAAGAGCTGTAACTGTTTAAAATTAGGCCTGATTTTAGCAAAATTTCACTTTATATCGGCACAAATGCGCACAAAGGTCACTATGTTTGATGCGTGCGTACGGTATTGTTATTGGCCATAGAGTGATTGAAAAGATAGGGAAACTTGTCAAAACAATGTCAGGAACCCAAAATGTGACAAAAAAAAATTTATTTCTAGCTTCCATATGTGCTGCGCGCGTAAAAATGGGCAGGAGTAGTGGTAAATTTCAAAAAATTTCAAATGCTCAAAATGGCCTGAAACGTGCTATAACTTAGTCAAAAAGTGATTTCGAGCATTTTGAAATTTTGACGAACGCGTACTCGCGCGTTATGAAGCACACGCGTAAAATTAGGGTACATTACATTCAACATTGACCTGAAGTTAATGCTCACTAATTACGATTTCGAAATGGCAATTGGTTAAGCTAATATGATCGATAATGTAAAAACGCAAAATTGCGCGTAGCTGACGTCACGCATGACTGGTCACCTTGAAAACCTTACCATGTCTATTCCAGGCGATGCCAAAATGATCGATGAAGCGATCGTCGTAGCAATTTTGAGATATCGTGCAAACAAAAACTGGAGAAATGTAGAATAAAAAGATCTCGAACAATCACAAGAGGTGATCCGCTCGTGAAGCGGACCACCAATGAGGTCCGAGGAAAACTGTATAGATAAACTTCACTAATAATTATTTGTGTTATCATTTTTACAATTTGCATCTTTGCCCTCGTGATGGTTTGCACAGATCCCACAACTTACATTGCCAGCATAAGGTGAGGGTTGTGACACATCGCTGGTAGCTGGCACCACTGAAACGTAGTCACGCTGGAGGAGTGTTGTAGGCTGCAGTCTAGGTTGTAGCCACCGCTCACCTCTTGCCAAATATTCACAGTATCATCATCGAGGGCGCTGCTGGCTAGAAGATGTCCTGTTACATCCCACACCATATTACAGATTGATGTCTATTAC